TAATGTGGGTGACTGACGGTAAATTTTTAACCGCGGTTGCAAAATTTGTTACTTTTGCCGTATCGTTTTAAAATTTCGTTTATTAAATTAAAGTGGAAGTGCACCAAAATGCTCCAACAGCATAGTGCGAGGAAATTTTCAAAACGCCTATAGGCGCCAATAGTAATGAAAGGATTAATCTTTGATTGATTTCTCGATCAGAATTTATCTCTACGTAAATCATCTCTACAATGTTCTAACGTTTGCAATATTATTTGAAAAAACGATACATACATTTTCTGTCGCAATTACATTACTTCCTCTCTGAAACCCGTAACGAATGTAATACTACATATGTTCCTTACCTGGTAACATGTTTGTTGTTAACTTTTTTACCAATGATCTAACAATGATTACCGCCCATTATAGTTAGTTTATTGATAATTGCAGCCTCAAGGGTAAACGAATGTACTTGGTTTACATTAAATCTTATATTCCACTCATACTTCCGCTTTAATCACGCCTTCCTCCAAGTATCACATCCAAATCATTTCACACCCTCTTTATCCTCTTTATCCTATTTACACCTTCTCCTCGTTCCTTTACTTTATTTAATTTGCTCTCCACTGTCCTCAGCTACCAATTGCTCTTATATGTTAAGTTAGACGAGTGGAAGTCAGATCAAAGGTAAGTTTGAATTGAAAACTTGAGACAAGTTTGAAAACTAGGAAAAACGTGACTGAAAGCAACGATAGAGCTGTCGACAAATTTAAGGGTTAGATTCTCTCCATTATTACTGATTTCAATTGCACGCGGGAAGTGTAATTGTTATTTTAAGAATTTCCTGCCGCATTTTTGTGTGTTTCTACGTTTTACGAAATAGATACCAATATGAAGAGAAAGCAGAAAGGAAAAATAGTATTAATTTAACAATATAAGAGAAAAAACTGTCTATAATAATTGAACAGATTTTTGGATCTAGTTCTTGGACACTGACTTTGATGCAATTTTTTAATTAGTTTCGCGTTTACTTAATTGGAGCAGCGTTAATAGGAAGAGATAAGGTGGATTTGTAATAGTTGGATCACCTAACTCAGAAAGGGTTAGCAACTGATTGCACTCCGAGGGAGTAGTAGTCTTCATTTTTTGTAACTTTCTTTGCGGCTTTATTTTTTTCATTACATTTAAGCAGAAATTTATTTATCATATAAAGCGAACATAAGCATGTAAATATGATAAGAAACGTGGTTACCCATAATAATTCAATATCATTCCAATCCTTGATGAGTATGGCTGCTAGCAATAATGCTCTAGCAGAAAAAGTTTCGCAATTAGCAAATAACTCCTTCAGTTTGTAACATTTTTACTTTTTAAAAATTGGAGAAAGAAGTCGAAAGGTACATTCACATCTTCTGAAAAAATTGAAACATTCCATTCGGTAGTTACCTATAAAAAAAAAATCTCAAGCTTTACCCATTTTTAGACACCTCGGAGTGGTGTGCCCCCTTAAGCGTGTGATTAATTAGATACCTATTCCCAGATAATATTCATGCATTCGTAGAAATTTTAAATATATCTTCTTCCAATGCGATGTTAAATTATTACTATTTAATAAATGTTTTGACTATTAACATTCACTAAAATACTGCTTCTTCGCTACCCGTTGCTCAGGTAACGCTATTTATAATACATTTTTGGCTATTAGTTCACTTTTTTACCAATATATTTCAGTAATTTGATTACGAAATATTACAAGGCGATATTACATACTCTACCGGCCAAAAGTTTGGAATCACCGAGTATTGCAATTTACACAAAAATTTCCAGAAAAAAGTCAGCTACTTTGAGAACTTTTTATCGTTCGAATCAATTGATACGAGATAAATTGACAAAAGTAGAATTGGGATAAACTTCAAATCTATAAAAAATTAGCAGCAGATTTAACCTTTTCGCTACGGCGCGCTTGTGACAAAATATGATTGCTATGAACGGAGCGCATTACTGATTAGTCGACACTGAGGTACATTTCATATCTGATTTTTGTTTCCCATATGTTTCCAATATCTGTCTTATAAGATTTTAATGAAATTTGGCAAACGATAATTTTGTCGCAAAAACAAAAAAGAAACAAAAGTATATATGGTATGAACGTATATGTACGCTCTTCGTACCCGAGCGCCCACTTTTCGAGACCGTACATATACGCTCTTCGTATATGAATGTTCATTCTTCGAGGGCGTATATATACGCCCTTCGGAGCGAAAGGGTTAATATTGACGAAAAGTGGGAGGTGATTCCAAACTTTTAACAGGTAGTGTACATTTAGCCGACATCGATTTTCATGACATCGAATATAAGAGGTAAATAATTATATGTAAATATAGGCAATTAAAAGTAATATATTTTAAAATAAATATAACTTAGCGACGAAGGTGTAATAAACGATTAGAAATATTTAAACGAAATAAAGTCAGTGTATCTTACTTTTGAATCCTATCACATATCCCACTTTGATAAAACTTTTTATTAGTTACAACTTTTTTCATTATGCCTTATTTCTTACATTACATTTCCTTCTTCCGTGTCTAAGTGACACAAGTGAAACACGTTTCTAATATTGTCAAACAAGCACTTTAACAGAAAAGAGAACTCTTTAAATAATTAACTTTCGAAGATTTTTGTTCGAATTGGTCAAACGAGCAATTGCCTACTTTTCCACGTTGCATATCATTTCTTTCTAGAAGCCACGTATAACACAACACTTTTATAGCATATTTTCAAGACAATGCAGGTTATAAATATCAAGCACCTCTAAAATCGTTAAAAATCTTTCAAGCAAAAGTAACTTTTCCTATTTCTGTTTTCGAATGAAATCTCAACTTTGAAACTTACTACAGTATGCATCGTATCACATTCCCGCGAGAAGATTGCCACGAGACAGAATATCTTCTAATACACAGATTTACCAAAAAACGACACAAGTTGAACCGTGACACTTCAAGCGAGTAAATTTTTATCTCACGTATGTTTCATAACGCTGCAATTAAATAATTTTCGTTTCGCCCTTCTCAAAAATGTCACGTTTTCGTATTGTGACACTTTTCTCGCGGGGGTGCAATGTAACAAAGTCTTATTCAGCACAGTCTTGTTTAACACGGTTTTAATATGTAACAACGCGACACGAATTTCCGCGTTCCGCGAGGATTACCTTTATTTTTATCGAATATCCGTAAATTGTCGATCGTATTACATTGCAATTTCAGCGTAGCAGTTGGCAGCTTGTCGGTGCAGAAAACAATGGTGCATCGACGCAATTTTATCGATGTACAATCGGCCGTGCAAGTCGATACTCGAGTTAATAAATACCAACTACTTTCCTTCGGTGCATTTCACAATGAACGTCCATCTCAAGTCCGTACTACTATCGTTACTATTCGTGTAATGGAACTGGTCGAGCGTTCGCCTTCGGTGCAAACTTCTAATGTTACTTTCCAACTTGCACAGATCCCTTCAAGTTGACTTCTCGTTCGTGCCGACGGAATTTTGGAATTTTTCGAAACAAAAAGCCGTGAATAAGGTACAATAAAAGACGGAAATTTCACATTTTCAGGTATTCCTGTTGCATTGTTAAATATCGTTTTTGACTTTTCTTTTGCCAAGTGAAGTTGATACCTTTGTTTCGACACGTCTCTGAGAATAGACTTATTTATTTGCCTATTTTTCATTTTATTTAGCTCGTATATTCGAAAATATAGCGAAACACTTTTGCTAGAATTATATCAGCCGTTCTTTATCAAAGTGGTATAAGTCCAGTTTTGAAAAAAATTAATTAAGGCTGATTTCAGCTAAACATGGATATCTTCTTTGAATATTTACAACAACAAAGTCAATACACCACGATATCCTCATGAACTTATCAGAACAAATATATAGTTGTTAAATGTTACTGTATAAACGCTTTCTTCGAAAGCACTTCTTCAAAAATATTAATACCTATTATCACGTAATAAAATTTAACGTGTTTACAATTTTAGAAATATTAGATGAAATTATTCAAGTTCGCCAATATTTTTCAATTAATTCAAACGCAAGTCCTTAACTATCTCAGTATGTATAAGAATAAATGAACTTATACCGCTTAAAAAATGTTACGTTAGTTTAATGTTTACTTCAGTTTTACAAAAGTTGTAAAAAGAATTAAAAAGATAATCTGTTATAGTTGTCTATCTTAAAAAATGTATAAACACTTCAAAAGGAAAGTTGCTCGAGAGATTATGCCATGCAAAATATTGATCACAACATACACTTCGCAGAAAGGTATTATAACTCAATTTGGTTATATCGACTTGACCAACTTTCCTCGTTTATTTGCACCAAAATACTTTTCATATTTTATCGCACTATAATTCAGGGTTTCTACAGGAAAAAGTATCCTTACCTCGAGTTTTACACGCGAGTAACCGGCTTTGAAAATTTCTTTCAAAATTCCACAAAACGTGCGAACAGAATATTACACGTAAATTACATACTTCGCTACAGTTATTGAAATCAATTTCTTCGAGACACGTGCCCATTTTTTCATATTTCGCGCATACAGTAAAACTCAGAACAGAAGAAGTTCGAGTTTGAAAAAAATCCGACAAAATACTATACCGATACTATTTCTTTTCATACTTTGTACATACTACACCCTCGCGAGAAAACTTTCACAGGCCGAAAACGTGACATTTTTGAAAAAAGCGAAAAGAAAATTTCTGTTTGGAAAATTACTTAACTGCAACGTTATAAAACATCAGCAGAAATTTACTCACTCGAAGTATCACAGTTTAAATTCGGACATTTCTTCTGATGATAAATCAGACATAGCAAGCAATAAATGAAATTTAACATGTGACACTTTTCTTTTGATTTAAAATCGTAATCCACTCAAATTTTTGAAGAAACACAATAATTTTGACGGAGTTCCAGAAAAGAGATCAGGTAAAATGTCCCAAAGAAAAGTTGTTTTTAGACCGTGCATAATGTACGAGGATACGGAAGATGCTTCTGACATCGATGAAGATTTCTTCAACGCGTTGGCGTTGCTACACTCGACAGAAGACGACAGCGCGGAGAAACTTCGGAAAATGCTGGACACATCCATCGAAAGGAAGTATGGCTTCGACAAAACTTTGATGGCCAGGATGCCGAAGAAATTTTTGCAAAATACGAAAACCAACAGCAAATCGTTCACGAACGAGAAATCGGAGGTGTCGTCGCGCAAAAGGGAGAATACTTGGAGGAAAACCGGAAACCCGTCGATTCTGCCAAATAATACGGCGGAAAGTAATTGGAAACCGATGAAAACGTTTAACGTGGACGTCGAAGACTATGGTGAGAAAGGGGACATTCCAAGGATATCTATTCCCGACGAAGGGTCCGGTGATGGACTTCTTTGCAAGGTTTTCAACTTCATTTTATGAAACAATTGAATTTATTCAAAAATTTGTCACAACATGTATTTCTGATGTACAGTTGTTATATTTCTATCGTTAAATACAAATTTAACATACAGGGTGGGTCGCGTAAAACAGGCAACATAATTATCTTCTTTAGCTATGGTGGTACGAGAAAATTTTTATACGTAATTTAAATGGTTTCGAAGCCCGAGTAAGTGGATATACGGGATGTACGAAAAAGCTGGGGACAGCAAAATGGGGACAAAAAGCAAGCAAAAAGGTCTTCATAAACATGGGTTCAGAAACCATTAGTTTCGGAGTTACGAGATGTGTTCTACTGTAAATCTGTAACGGAATAACAGACTCTGTTTCTAAAACTTAACCAAAAAGAGTAGACATAATCGTAGTAGCATTATGCAAGTAAACGTATGACATCATTCAGCGTACGATTGTGTTTACTGTTAAATAAATATGGAATAGAGTCTGTTATTCCGTTACAGACTTATAGTAGAAAACATCTCGTAACTCCGAAACTCATGGTTTTCGAACCCCTGTTTATTGAGACTTTTTGCTTTTTCTGACGAGTACTACGTCCTCCTAAAGTTTGTCTCCAGCTTTTTTGTACATTATTGTTGTTGTATTATTAAATGTATTTTTCTGAAATTTCTAAGTAGTCTGAGAATAAATACGTTTGTGACAAATGGTCAAATATAAATGTTCGTAGTTAGGGGTTAATTTTCAATTTGTGACAGATTATAACAGATTTGATCGCAATAATTTTCCTTTTACCGGTGAAATGGAAGATTTGTAACGGGGCGAAGTTAGGACCACTGATTTTGCTAGAGTGTCAAGAATGTCAAGAGGTCTACCATCCCCTGTGTCACCAACCTCCTGTCGTCGACATTGACGTCTACGATCCCAGAATCGTGTGGCGGTGTAGAAAATGCATGGACACCTCTTCCGTAAACTCTGTCATTGCGTTCGATGAAAAGAAAGTGAAAAGATCTCATCCAGCCAACGACGCGAGCAAAATCAAGGAACCTTCTATGAAAGTGGAGAAGTTGGGAAAATTGAATGGGAATCTTTTGAAGAACGAGACGAGTATCGGTGATGAAACTTTATCTGGTAAACATGTATATGCAATTTTCGATACATTCGTTCCTTATATTCGTTTACATATGTACGTATGATAAAAAATACCTTTACGATTTTAGAAATTTCTCAAAAAATTACGGAAGATACTATGCCAATGAAAGGTTCTTCCCATTTGAACCAAAAGATGACGAGAACTGCATCTTCGAGTCACCTAAAAAAACGAATTGGTTCGAAGCTTTCGGTAACTCGTCCCGTAGTTAAGTAACAATTGTATTGCCAATAGTCATCAGCTTTTACATATAAATAAATTCATTGTTGAAACTTGAAACTATCACTTCTTATTTACATTACTTTTCATGACTAGAGTGACACTGTTTAACCTCGCTCGATTCTTATTGAAAATTATCTTTGTATCTCTGTAATACTTTCTTAACTTAGCCTGGTAATGAAATTTAGTATGCACATTCTCAAAAATTCAGCAAATATTCAAAAACCAGTGTAACCAGTGTAACGCAAACTTTTAAACAATAAAATCATTTGGGCAGTGTACCAATTGTAAAAGAATTCATTTGAAATTATATTCTTAAATCGTATTATCAAACTTGTAACAAATAAATAAATAATACAGTTAATATTCTAACCATTCATTTATTAATTTCTCAAATTGAACAACAAAGAAGACAAAATTTGCCACTACGAGTATCCTTCAGAAGAGAAAGAAACATCAACGGTAAAGGTAGAAAAATTGGAACCAAGGTACATGCACGGTACGCTTTATTAGTTAATTACTCGTTACATGTACAAGGGAAAACCCATCTCCTTATCTCCTTTCCTCTTTCAACCAAATCCACGCAGTTTCACACTTCACTCCCGCGAAAGAACACTCTAATCACGGTAAAGGGCACATTACTTAAGTCGATTACAGATGTTACTCGTCACGCTACACCAACTCAGCCAAACCAACGAATTTTTCCAAAAAAAAAGAATGAAAAAATTAGAAGGAAAAAGAAAACGAAAAAATGCATGTATACATTGCTGTTCATAAGTATTGGGACACTTATTGAATGTGAATTAAATCTAAACAGTCCTTATAAAACCCTTCGTAGGCAAACTGGGTAGTTTGTGTCCAAGTCTAACATTTTTATTGTTTCAAGCTTTCAAAAAATCTGCAAAAATTCTGGAGTATTTATCAAAGTCTCCACGCTACATTACGTTAGGTCAAATGTTTGAAATTGTTTCGAATAAAAATAAATACGGGAGTGAAATTTCACTTGGGTCGCCGAAGATTGCCCACGGAGGGTTAATATTAAAAAGAAAAAATTAGTCAGTTTGGAATCTCGTGGTATAAGGAGCACATGTATTTTCACTTATATATCACCACCTTAATACTGCCACTAGATAATTCACACTTCGTCCATAACTCCATTCGTAAGTTCTAAAAAAAGAGGACAATAATTAAATTTTCGTAAATCGACATTTTCCGGATAAGTGTATCAGAAGTCGTATTTTCCTCGCAACTGCGGAATATTAAACGGATAAGTTTAAAATCAACCCTTTGTTCAACGCTAAAACTCGGTTGTTCCACTAACCAGTCTAGTTGTAGTATTAAAGTGACGATACGATACTAAACTTTCACGAAGAAATGTAATTTAAATCTTATAATACTTTCTCTACGAACATAACAGATGTCCTAATACTTATGAACGGTAGTGTATGTTTAATCGTCATTCATTCACCCCTCTATTTTGGCAATTTACAAGATGTCTCTATCACTGTCGCACGGTTCGTTCCGTTTGCTCGTTCGTTCTCTGTATTAAGGTCAACGGAGTTCAATTACCTTCGGCAGCCATGCCGAAGTTTTAGTCAGACTGGATGCTCGATCACTTTCGCTCTAATTGATCGTGCGTACGAGAGAAGATCGAGCGTGCACGTGAGGCGCCAGAAAATTACAGATCCCCGCGAACACACCTTGCTTTATCGGAAACGGACATTTTATTATTTTTCTTTCAATCTTGTCGTCGTCCCATTAGCACGCCGTTCAATTTCAATAACCCACAGTTGTGACGGTCATTATGAAAATGACTCGTTGAAAAAAGGCTCGAAAAAATTCAAGTCATTTTACGCTCGACTGACGTACATTCTAACAAAGTGGATAAAATTGAATCGCTTTATCGGGCAAAGTAAGAGTACTTGCGGAAAATCGAATTATTCCAAAATGGAAAATACACGAGTTCAGACGTTTTTATAATCGTTGGCAATATCGATTCGAGGAAATTTCTATCGGACGCCGTTCAATGTAATTTACTCACGCCTCATTGCCGCTTTTAGGTATCGTATTCATTTCCGTTACGATTTACAATAGTTGCCTGAGCTTTTCTAACGGAATAAAAAGGTACTAATATCGCTTCGTTCGACAAATCAACTGTTTGCATTGGATACCATTTCTAGTAGCTCGAGACATTGGCTCGAAGAATGAAAATTGAGTGATTCAACCCTTTGAGTACCAATGCTGTGACACAATTTTATTGAACTTTTCTCAGAGGTAAGTTCAATGTTTATTGTAACTGTTATTAATTCCATCGTACGAAATACATATTTTACATGCAATATGGAACTCAAATTCTTTTCAATTACAGTGACGAAATTTTTTAATGCCATAATAACAGCCAACGTAAACGACAATTTCTACAGAAAATGTAGGTGTGATTCGCAATTAATAAAAATACTTTTATAATTATATTCACATCTAGAACAATCGTAAAATAACAATGGACAATTTTCCAATGAAATTCCACAGCGTTTATCGAGTGTAAAAGCTTCATTCATTTTCAGCATAGCGACCAAATTTTGCAAAATGGCTGTGTTATCCACGAAATCAAGTGTTCTGAACAGGAGCGAATTCTGTGATAATGCATGTAATAGACTTGCAACTCGGAACCAAGTATCGTTTAAAACTATTAGTGGAAAAAATAAGAGGTAAGAGACTCACGGAAATGTAAATTAATTATCACTACTCCTTAATTACACTAGCTTAATTAGGTACCCTATAGAAGACCGTGCGTATGTTTTGCGTACTACTATACAAACACAAAGACACTATCGTAAGACAGCTATTTGTGCCGATTATCACAGAATTGTCGACCGTCTAAAGTTCCGACTCTACATGATCCGCGCATCGAAGAAGGAAAAGTTATTCGAGTATCCGTTTCAACGTGTTAGAAAACGGAAAAAGTACTTTTCGACAGGAAACTTAGTAATGGAAAACATGCGAGATTTTTCGTCCTCTACGAAGCGCGAATCAAGACATTTCTCTAATTTCCTGCCATTTTGATTGCAATGGCTTTAATTCGTTGATACGCAGTTTCTACATATAGACTCGCCAAACGTTCTACAGAATCGATATGTTCTTCGTTACTCTCGTTATTTCATTTATTGCTAATTAAAGTACCGAATGTAATCTACAAAGCCCCTGGCACTCAAAACATCTAAACTCTTTCACAAAAGTTAACGAGAAAACAGGTATTATTCACTTGTAAACAACTATACTGAAAGATACCAGCTCACAACTAAATTACGTTACTTCTAGAAAAAAAGGAGAGAAAAATGAATGGCATGAACAATATTCTACGAATAGAATAACTATTTGAATCGGTTTCGTTCATGTTTCATCACTTTAGTCACTCTGAGGGTGTGAACGTGTTTCCTGTAATAGAAGCTCCCCCGTTATTTCCCTCTGTGATTTTTTAAAAGTTCGACCCTTAAAGACGAGATTTTTACTAGTACTCGTGTTACCAGGTGGTAAAAAGCTCCTCTCGAAAGTACTAACGTGCGTGCATGCATGCAACGAGAAGAATTGTATATAGGATGATAGAAAAAACGGTGCCAAACTTTAGGAACATGGATCACTCTTCAAAGCGAGGCAGAAACTTTTAACAAACGTAAGTACGAAAGTAATTTTCTTGGTATACATGAAGTTTTATTTATAACTTCCAATGTAACATACCGTTTGTTGCAAAAGCAAATATTAATATTACCCTCACATGCAGCGAATAAAAGGATCTTCAAATGAAGCGAGGATATACTGAATTTTCACCGTAAACAAAGATAACGTTTTACTACTAAAATTGTTTCATAAAAAAAAAAAAGAGTTATTTCAGGTCATACGTTCGTTAAAAGTTTCCACGTTGCCTAAATGAGCGTTGTGGGTCTCTGATAAAGTTTGGCCCCAGCCTTTTTCACCAGTCCGTAGCCTATAATTGCAAACTTAATCATCGATCCCCCTTTTATCTACCATTATCCCTCTTAATTTCGGCATTAGTTGCGATAAAAAGTTTTTCTTGCTATATCCTCAATTATGTACGTGTTGACGCGTGTTCAGTGTATGTGTGTGATTGCGTCTGTGCATTTTTCTTCTATATACACGCATAACGAGGAGAAAAGTGCAAGAGTGGCGGTTTTAATATATAATCGTTATAATTAGTGGTGGTATCACTCTGCTCCAGAACCCGCTTTGCGCTACTTTACATAATAAACCTCCTGTTTGAGCCACGCAAGGGGACGTTCAGCCTAATTCATGACAGTGTCATCGTGCCAAGTGGCCGACATCAATTAAATAAAGATTCTGACACATGTCAAGGTTGCTCCAAGTTGCACCTCATCAATGCATTGTGCGCTCTGGCACCGACCACGCGATACTACTTTACATAAACCGTGTTAGATTTCTTTGTCCCTTGACCGCGGGAAATCGCTCGTTGAAATCGAGCGCGTTTATATAACGGTAACAATTATGTACAAGCTTCCTATACAATCAGATACTGAGATGAACAACGCTGGATTACAATGCTGTGTAAATGTATGTATTAACTCGATTGTGTATTCGTGAGCTGTGAGATACAAAGTTATTTCGAAACGAGAGTAAGAGACTTTGAAAGATTGTTCAGGAGATCGTAATGAATGGAAATATATTACAGAAACAAATAGGTTTCATTCGAACGACAAAGAATTCAGAGTTTAGTAGATACCGGTACAGTTAATTCTTGGGTGTAGTTTGAAATTTATTTCAAGTTAATTTTGATTGTTCGAGAATTATTGAAGATTGAATCACATATATGTTCACTTCTGTTTGCTATAAATATTTTTAACGTCATTGTTCGTGTAAAAATTGACAGTTACTATTTATTTACATTTCATTATTCAGAGTATATTTATCCAAGAATTATAAAACTTAAAATTCGATTTTAACACCGTAGCTTATAACTCGAAATAAATGGCAAAGTCGTTCGAATTATTGCAATCGTAACAAATTCACAAACTTTATTACAAGAATATTGAAAACGTGGTCCTTAAGCTTTAATAGAAACATAGCGAGGACAATTTAATAAATCGTATAGTACCTATTTTTATTAAACATACCATGAATCTATTACGATGGCAATAATCTTTTCAACAGCTCGAAGTATGTAAACAAGATCTATGCTCGCATCACATTGATCTCACATAATCTCCCAAACAAAATATCAAAATGTGTAACACTTGTCTGGAAAAATCCTGTACGACATAAAGAAAGAAGAAACATTTTTATAACTGTCTTATAAAGACAATTTGATAATATATGACAGTGTATGTTTCATCTGTGTGCATCAAGTAGCGAGTAGCTACAAACGTGGAATCTCGCTCAATTTTTCAAATGACGTAAAATTATAAACGATACCGCTATAAAAATGGTAGAAACAGAATTAGGGTATCAGAAATAAGCGATTCATTAAAGATATTGTGTAGCTCGATTTCAATCTACATGTCATCGACGATTCGATGCCAATAGGATAAAGATACAAGCATGGTATCTTTAATACAATCACTTGGCACGGATTTTAACCTCTGATTTTAACCCTTTAAAATTATTTCTATATCATGATTACAAACGAGTACAAACGCTTGTTCGTATTACAATGGGAACCATCAAGATATGTTGCTCGAGTGATTGTACGCGACTTAGTTTTTCTTGTGCCTTTAAACACTTAAGACAACTGAACTACCTATAATTTAATAATTTCGTATATTTTAACAGAAGGATTATTTTGCAATTGTTTATTGTATACGTATACATAAACATATCAACGGCCAGTATATTAATAACAAAAATCTTAAAAAAATCTAAAAAAATGGCTTCTTATACGAAAATATACCATGTAAATATATTTCTTCCTATTTGCGTTTAAAATAAAATTTGCAAAGAATACGGTGATTTATTCATCTAGTGTATCTCGAGTATTACACACATTCTTAGGAATTTATAAAACTGATTCCAATACGTACAGTAGTGTGCTTTATCACAAACATTTTCATATATATCTTTTTTGTTTACTTAATACTCTCTGTGAAATATTAACACGAGTATTTTGAAAGGGAAAATGTGGTTCTTGGTTATAAAATTTGGTACAAATAGTTATTCGAATTAACTTCGTTAATTTGTTCCGTAATTTTGGACGTAATATTCGTGCTTTGGTCGGGAATATATCATACAAGTTAATCATCAATTTCACTTTCTGTGTGCATATTCTCGTCTATTTTCGTCGTAATTATTTAAATGCCAATCGTGTTGCACTTAAAGATCGTATGCTACATATAAACATAGGTATTAATCCTTACATTCGTAACATACTATTGCTATAATCCATGTTACGTAAATATTGAGTAACTTATCCCTTTGTTGGTTGTATTATTCCTTCTTTTTTTTTTCATTTCTACACAACGTACGTTTCGTGTATATTTATACGCGATAAAATATATTGATGGTGTTACAGCTGTACAATAATGAACAATATTTTCTACTATATTTTAAATTAAGACTGCGTACACTCATTTCATGAACGTACCTCATTGAAGGCGAAAGACACGTTAATGTAAATGCATCCTACATGCTAACAATGCGTCAAAAATTCATGACATGATGTGACAATGACGATGTTTTAAAACAGATCAAAAAACATAAATGACTAGAATTAATTATGGACTAGAATCCTCACTTTATAAAGAACTTCTAGGGAAGCAAGTTTAAAATTCTTAATAAGTCAGCACATGCAGCAATGCTTCCTTCGTGCTATTAATAATTCTCTTTTCCATCGAATGGACTATACATAGAAATTAAATATGAAATTTAATTACTCTGGACTTGTATAATGTTTAATATTGTTTGTATGTAGGATACATATTTGTCTGGTATCACTACAAGTTTTCACTATCTAAAAGGCCATTAAAGATTTTTCATTGCCTGGGAAGATACCAGTGCCATACTTTGGAAGCGCTAGATTCTTTTTTCCTTTTTTTTTCTCGTTAATTGTCCTTTACATATAGAAATGATCGGAAAATACGTGTACTTATAATGAAAGTTATTAATAACTAAGAGGCAATGCTAATATAAAATACTTTACACATTTGTAGTAGTGTAACACACAGTGATAGATAAACGAGTATTATTTTGTTGAAATGAGTTAATTGAAAAGATATTGTGCATTAAATCTTGTATCCACCAAAGATATGAAACATTTGTTAATAGAAAAACCTATTTAAATAGATACATCACAGTAAATATTTATAAATATAAATTGAGATTCTAATAAATCTACAACTGGTTAAATTTTATAAAAGAAAATGTAAATTAAAGTGCAATGAAGATTTCACATTTAAGACCTCTTTTCTTAAAAAAAGAAAATTTCAGAAAATTTGATTTCATTGAACTTTTGATTTCATTTTGTATACACCTACTTTATTAAAAAATGTTTACCAATATTTGTTAGTGGATACACGGCTACATATAATATAATATTATATACCTTTTCACTTTTGGTAATAGCACTTCCAGACAGTGGCAGTAGGCACTCTGATGACAATAATAAGATAATAAGTATAAAATATTACAAGTTAATCCACCTTTAAGGCAGGTAAACCATTCCCAATAACCAGCTGCTCCTTGGGAAAGTCTAGAATTACGGTAACATGAAAACCCATATTTGCAGAGGCAATCACATACTCGCATAAGGAAAACCAGCTAAATGCTGTTAGAAAAAAAATTATAATAAGTCGTCTACAGTTCAGCCTTAAACATTATTAATATTTAAGCTTACACATGTTTCTCATTTATAATTATTACTTCTGAATATTTACTTTACATTTATTTAGAAATGAATAAAATTTTTATGATAACATAAGTGCATAATGTGATGATATTAGTACTTATGCCTAAATTTTATGTATGATATTAATATTCCTAATTTATTAAATTTTATTAAAAATGTGCATTTTCTTACCCAGGTCATGACACAATAGCCTGTGTTTTAGGAAGAAAACAATAAGTCCAACAGTACTAATAAGACTTGTTATAAAAAGCGCTTGCTTATATTGAAGACTTCGTGCATTTGGTGTTACAAGACGACCCAATCTTACAGCTGCTAGCATATACGTCAGGGAACTAATCATGAAGGCAATGAAAATTTTCTCATGCACAGCTGAAAAATGATAGTTATTATTCAATTACTAGTTATGTTACAGTACATTGTAATATTATGTTTTCCCAATTTTCTATTCTCTGTTGGAGATGTATGTAACACCACATAAAGTTGCTATTTCTGCAATACTTAACCAATAACATAAATTTAAAAGTCTACATCCCATAATTTTGGAAGGTACATCTTCAATTGCTTTAACTATTTTGTAATAATATGAATGATATACACTAGCAATAAGTAGCCGAGGACCTATATGCAATGCTACAGTTATACGCCACAAATATCTTTGCGGGGATATACCAGTAATAGCTGAGATCGATGGAAGTATATTATAAACCTAAAATAAAAACAAAAAATAATTAACATATTTAATGTAGCATTCAAATTTGTAATATCTTAATAAATAATATTCATACCCTGCAGTGTGTTTCATGAATGTCGTCCTGCTGGAAGATATATGCTGTAACAAAACAGACTAAAAGTGCGATAAGAAGTAAAGACACTGTTGCCACACATAATTTTTTAAATGATATTGCCAAGTATATGGAACTTTTGCTGGTTCCCACATTATTTTGCTCCATAGTGTAACTATCTAATACTTTGGCATTTATGCACAAAATAAAAGGAGAGCTTAAAGAGGTTTAGAGTCTAACTCAGTCTACATCAGGATCATGTCTCATTTTAATCTTCATAAAAAGTTATAAAAACTTCTTTCAGTTTCATAATATGTCTGTAATAAAGAATAAGTTTTATATTAGTAATACAATAGTAAGAATAGTACACTATGAGAAAAGTTGATACTTCATTTGACAGACAGTATATTATAATATTTAATAAGTACAATTAAAGTGAATGCAAACGTAATTTCACATTTATCACAATGAAATTTACTTGCAGTTAGATTATTAGTATACTTAATTGTTTTCTTATTGGATAATTAAAACAAATATGTTATACTAAGTAATTCGTGGAATAAAAGAGAAACAATTTTAAAAAATGGTCAAAATATGCGGCCAGAATACGATGCAACACACTGGATCTCTGTCTTCGAATTTTATACTTAAAATAATAAATATATTTAGTTAATTGCTCTATTTTTGGAATTGATTTTACGGATAACCTACTTTTTCTATTTATAGCAAACAAAAGGCACTGTCACGGGTAACTCAAAGTTCGTGACATTTGCCTGGAGGCAATTTATTATGAACCTCAATACCTCTGCACGGAATCCGTGATAAAATGACCGAACTTTATTTGCACGATAAACAATTCAATGCGAAAGCTCTGTTAATTCTTTAACGAACAGCAAATGAACATTTTTCTTCTTTTTTCTTATTACTTACTTTAGGGTATATAAAAAGTTACTTCACTCAAATGGTTATATCTACGCAACAATGCATCAAATATGCATTTAGCAACTGCGCTATTAATTTATTTAGTGATCAGTTCAGATTCTATTAGAGTATTATTGTTTTTCGCTCAAAAAAGTAGGCATACACTTGAATCAGTATATAAAAGATAAACAGCACACATAATGTATGAGCAATTAAATAACTTCTTAACGCTGCATTTATGCTGGAGCTTTCGTAGACTGTCACGGTTTCAAATCAATAATAATATATAGGCGCTGATATTTCTTCGATGGCAATTCATTCATTCATGTTCATTTATGATCTCCATGCAGAAAATCAAAAGAATTTACCTTATTCCTTGTGTACAAACGTGTCGTCTGCTAGCCTGTGAATTTCTGTTGAAGAGATGCCATCTATGAATTTGTACATGTTTTGTAACAATTTCACACTAGCGCCAATTTTAAATTTTTATATTGTTCATAAAAAATAAATCTATAGTTACTTTTAAAAAGTTATGCAATACATAAAACAATAAATTTTAGTATCGTAAGAATTGTTAACTTTATTAGAAATACAATTACAATTGTCCTAATTAAAAATTTATCGTGCTCGTTCTCTTTGATACGGTTCTTTCTCGGTTTCGTATTCAATTTCGACATTTGGACGGGCCTTCTTTTGTAATTTTCCTTTCTTAATGGTTGGCTTTTTCGTTTTCTTACTCGTAGAGGGTACTATATCCTGCAATGATATAGTAATTTCAGATATAATCGTAATATAACTGCAGGTAAATATAATTGTAATACTTCTTACCTCAATATCACTTGTTTCAGATTCAAAATCACTGGATAATTCAACTTGTTCCTTTTGTCCCGAATCACTATCTTCATTCTATTTAAACACATGAATTTATATACAAGAGTTATTGACACAAAAAACTATAACTTATACTTAAGCAGTGTATAAATTACCATAGATACTTCCTGAACCTCAAAATCGTCATCCTCATTCTCATCCTCTGTTTCTGCTTCTACAAAATGTGGTTCATTTGTTTCTCTTTCTCTTTCTCTTTCATCTGCTTCTAATTCCAGCTCTACTTCTTTTGCAATTGTCTCTGTTTCTTTTTCTTCTTCACTCTCAGCTTCACTCTCACCTTCAACTTCAACAGCTTCTACAGCTTTGTCAAATACTTTTTGTGGGAAATTGTAAATATCATTGTACTAAAAAAGAAGGCAATATCCTAATGAGATTTAAAAAAATAAGTATTAACATTTGTATATATAATTAGAATAATAAAACTACAAACCATGCCCTGTTTTAATCGTTCCATAAGTTGCTTTTCTATTGCATTTTCTAACCTAGCAGCTATAAGAGCCTTTTCCTCCCTACGTCTTTCTCTTCTTTCAATCTTTCTTTGGATTGGTATGATTTGTTTTTGCCTCCTTAACCTTAATTTTCTCATACGTATGAGGTACTGTGTAATTTTTATAAATCTTTGTTTGCATTTTGCCTTTATAAAACCAGACCAGTACAATAAATTTTCATTAATTTGTTGTATTGCCTTTTCAAAATTCCTAGATAGTTTTACTTTTTCCCATGAATTTTTTAGAAAATGCACTCTGCAAAAAATAATGTACATAGATTAGAGTAATATTAGACCATTTTTAAAACGTAATTCTGTAGTTAACTTTATACCTTTCTGCTGTCCTCATATATAGGTAAATAATACCGTTTTCTTCCCTAATTGTGGCATATTGACTATTTGCAAGAGGACAGGATGCTCTACTACATAAACCTGTAAGATTGTACTCATTGCGACAAAATCTCTGTGTCTTAGTACTGTAAAAGTAAAATATTTAACGAATTTATGATGTATAGATTTACTAATTATGTTTTCCAAGTTATACATACTTTACTTTGAAAGAGCAAAATGATTTATTGATAACACTCCACACAACCTATAACAATTTAGGGTTAGATAAAATATTAGAACTTAAAGTAAGTAATTCGCAATATACTCACGTCGTCGTGCTGCATTTTACGTTTGTAGTAAGCTAAGTTTTATGAAAAGTTCTTATAGATGTCATTAAAATATTGTCAAAACACTCTCCTTATGAAAGGCATACATGTGCGTTTAAATATTGTTAAACGCTACAGGTTATGTTTAGTTTCAAATTCAGCCAGTTCATTAATAGATGGCGATAAAGGTTTATTGACGCACATTGCAATCAAGATACAAAAATCAATTCTACACTTTTTTTGATATTTTTGTATTTTTTAAATCTAATCACATCCATGATTCAGTTAAAATGCGAAATTAGTTGAGTATAAAGTGTTATAAATGCTGCAATTGTTACTAAAACAAAATATAATAAATTGAGCATAAAGTAAACCAATAATAAAGATAGAACTACAAGACAATAGGAATTGATACAATTAAAATTAAATATCGTATTTACAATTTATTTAAAATAATATTTATAAACGACGTACAGGATGGACCTTGCATCTTATGTGACTTTTTGTCCGAGGTTTTGGGGCCGAGAAAACCCTTACCACTTTCGTGTCGCTACCAACGTTACCGATTCAGCATAGAATAAGATTACAACATTAGTAGTGGTTGGAATTGGAATTAAACATAACTATGAAATTACAAATAAAAAAGTAATGTAATTGTTTATTAGTAGATGATTCATCACATGCGCGTGTTCTACTGCTGTCAAAAGATCGTAAACAATTCTACCCAAGCAATCTAATATATGTATGTATCTTTATATGTAAATTTAATAAAAGAGAATTTTTTACATCTGTTGACTTTACCATCTTGGATGATTAGATTGTATGTAATTCCTAAACTCACCGCTTTATATCGTAGAGGGCGTAACAAAAACTCTGATTTTTTATACGATCGGTATTTCGGAACGTTGGACACAAAAATACATTAGATGCTAGGTCTATCCTGTTACTAGCCAACGCTATAGACGAGGTATAATCAATAAAAAAAATATAGCGAGGTCGTAAGATTGGTTAGACGTCAAAGTTTATATGTTCGAACATATCAACACACGAATCGACCGAAACCTGAGAAAATCACGATTCGAAACCTTAGTCAAGGTCGCATGTAATATGCCTCAACTTTGATTTAGTCTCTATGGAAAAACGTAAAATGCCGCATACTATCCAGGGTGTTACTGCATCAATTGATGCTGTTACTTAATAGTTTAATTTACGACCTCACTATATTTTTCCCACCGACTATACAGAACAAACCTATCACCACAAAAGAGGTAGATCACTCCCTTATGGGACTTCATGTCGCACGTTCTGAAATAGCGACAGTGCAAAAAATCAGAGGTCTTGTTATGCCCTTTAAGATTTAAAGCGATGAAATTCGAAATTATATTCAATCCAACCACCGAAATAGGTAGAATCAACAGATGTAAGGAGATCCTTTGCAAACCTACCTACACCATAAATGTAGGGTACATCAAAACACGGGAGGTACAGTGATCCTCAAAACCAACGGCTCATGCCGGCAGCTTACCTCGTACAAGTTGTAGAGAAGAAGACGATGACATTCGGCGCTGTAAACAGCATTACCGACTTCTACAGCATTACTGTTTGCTTCACCACCCCATAGGTGCATGCGGAAAGTTCTTCAAATGTGTATTATATTGTGTACTGTAATTCCATTGTATACAAATACAGCATATACTATGTGTACACACACCCAAATCTCTGAAAAACAATTACTGTAATATACTGGAATATTCGCATACACACTCGCACTTACGAAAGGAAAGCTAGAAAAGATAAGGAAAACTAAAAGAGAAATAAATTAAACTTATATTAAAACCACACTTATGTGTAATAAATTAAATTTAACTGATTATATTAAACTAAACTAATTAACCTATTATTTTAGAGCTGTAAAGTACCTCGTATGATAGATTTATCTTGTACCACATACGGGGACTTCGTATACCTCGTCTGCAATTACGATCTATCGATAAATTAGATTTACCGATAATGGTCAATATAGAAATTTTTATATTTTTTGATTAATTTTTAAAATATTTACGCAGATTAGATACTGATCTTATTTGCGTTATTCATGTACAATAAAATTTAGTAGATTTTCTCATTCTATATATGAAAAATCACTCGATATATCTTACTACAAGAATACATAAAAATGAATTTCATATTGGCACAATGGTAAACAAACTATTTTATACTTCGTCTGCGATGCAACTTTGTACCTCTGAACTGCAAAAGCATATTATTTTTTACAGGTAATTCCTACAATTACTGGGCCTTTTTGTAAAGGGCTTTGGGGCCGAGAAGACCCTTACCATTTTCGTGTCGCTACCAACGTTACCGATTCAGCATAGAATAAGATTACAACATTAGTAGTGGTTGGAATTGGAATTAAACATAACTATGAAATTACAAATAAAAAAGTAATGTAATTGTTTATTAGTAGATGATTCATCACATGCGCGTGTTCTACTGCTGTCAAAAGATCGTAAACAATTCTACCCAAGCAATCTAATATATGTATGTATCTTTATATGTAAATTTAATAAAAGAGAATTTTTTACATCTGTTGGCTTTACCATCTTGGATGATTAGATTGTATGTAATTCCTAAACTCACCGCTTTATATCGTAGAGGGCGTAACAAAAACTCTGATTTTTTATACGATCGGTATTTCGGAACGTTGGACACAAAAATACATTAGATGCTAGGTCTATCCTGTTACTAGCCAACGCTATAGACGAGGTATAATCAATAAAAAAAATATAGCGAGGTCGTAAGATTGGTTAGACGTCAAAGTTTATATGTTCGAACATATCAACACACGAATCGACCGAAACCTGAGAAAATCACGATTCGAAACCTTAGTCAAGGTCGCATGTAATATGCCTCAACTTTGATTTAGTCTCAATGGAAAAACGTAAAATACCGCATACTATCCAGGGTGTTACTGCATCAATTGATGCTGTTACTTAATAGTTTAATTTACGACCTCACTATATTTTTCCCACCGACTATACAGAACAAACCTATCACCACAAAAGAGATAGATCAGTCCCTTATGGGACTTCATGTCGCACGTTCTGAAATAGCGACAGTGCAAAAAATCAGAGGTCTTGTTATGCCCTTTAAGATTTAAAGCGATGAAATTCGAAATTATATTCAATCCAACCACCGAAATAGGTAGAATCAACAGATGTAAGGAGATCCTTTGCAAACCTACCTACACCATAAATGTAGGGTACATCAAAACACGGGAGGTACAGTGATCCTCAAAACCAACGGCTCATGCCGGCAGCTTACCTCGTACAAGTTGTAGAGAAGAAGACGATGACATTCGGCGCTGTAAACAGCATTACCGACTTCTACAGCATTACTGTTTGCTTCACCACCCCATAGGTGCATGCGGAAAGTTCTTCAAATGTGTATTATATTGTGTACTGTAATTCCATTGTATACAAATACAGCATATACTATGTGTACACACACCCAAATCTCTGAAAAACAATTACTGTAATATACTGGAATATTCGCATACACACTCGCACTTACGAAAGGAAAGCTAGAAAAGATAAGGAAAACTAAAAGAGAAATAAATTAAACTTATATTAAAACCACACTTATGTGTAATAAATTAAATTTAACTGATTATATTAAACTAAACTAATTAACCTATTATTTTAGAGCTGTAAAGTACCTCGTATGATAGATTTATCTTGTACCACATACGGGGACTTCGTATACCTCGTCTGCAATTACGATCTATCGATAAATTAGATTTACCGATAATGGTCAATATAGAAATTTTTATATTTTTTGATTAATTTTTAAAATATTTACGCAGATTAGATACTGATCTTATTTGCGTTATTCATGTACAATAAAATTTAGTAGATTTTCTCATTCTATATATGAAAAATCACTCGATATATCTTACTACAAGAATACATAAAAATGAATTTCATATTGGCACAATGGTAAACAAACTATTTTATACTTCGTCTGCGATGCAACTTTGTACCTCTGAACTGCAAAAGCATATTATTTTTTACAGGTAATTCCTACAATTACAAGTTACCAAAGTTTTGCAATTTGATCTATTTTATCGACAAGTAGGCGAAGACACTAGCAATGTATACTTTTATTTCAAACATTCACTTTCTTCAGCCGGAAACTGCACTAATGGATTGAGTACCCGTGTATCAACTGAAGTACTCATGTAATCAAATGACTTTTATATACCAGTGGAATATTTTGAAGGGGTTGGACGCCTGCGGAAGCAACCCTCTGCAAACTAATCACTGGATAATGGACAAATTTATATTCGAGCGTCGTACCCGTCGACCTATGGTGCTGGTAAAATGTCATTTCGTGTATAGTTACGTATACTTCGATCCTTCCGTGGCCTCATCTTCGGTCAAGTTTCTTAATCAAGGAACCTTCCGATTCTTTAAACTTACACCGTTAAGTTTAGGAATTTTCAGCTTATCATGAGTATTTATTATGAGAATACATTTTGCACATTAATTTATGGAGTATTAAATTTTACATTAAGTTCAAATATTTAAAATAATCAGTATGAACAGACAGTTCCGTTGTGTTCGTATGTACAGGGTGTCCTTTTAATTCTGTTCACGTCAAATATCTCCATTATTTTAAGTAGTAAGCAACAAAAAACATTACGTACAAAACGTACGATTGCAAGAACGACATAACCTATATAGTGGCAACAGTTTCTTTACCACCGGAGGCGTAGAGGAAAAGAGTTCAGTTTTGTTTCTTTTTTAAATAGAATGGAAATTTCATATTGACAACTTTATGATCACTGAATGAGAAACATATTAATACTGAAACATGTCGAAAGTTTAACACTGCCATTTCATGATATTTACTGTTTACCGTATGTTTACATCCGCAAAACTGAGCATATCTTCGGAAATGTTTCATAACGAAAATAATAGAATGGATTAATATTTTTATACTACCGAATTTGCTATTTTATCGGATTTGACAATAAAAAGTTGGACATTGTATTTAATAAAAAAAATTTTGCCTGTAAAGAAACTATTGCAGCTTTTGTACATCCTATTCATATGT